CGAACATCACCGCCCGGAAGCCCAGAACCTGCGCCAAGGACCCTTCGGTCATGATGTAGCGTTCGAGCGCGGCGGCTTCTGCCGGCGCGGTCGGAAACGCGGCGATCATCGCCATGGTCAAAACGAGCTGCACGACCAGAAGGATGGTACCCAGCCGGATGAGGCGGCCGGCCGGCCAGGTGCGAACCCGGTAGAGGATCGCGCCGGTGATCGCATAGGCAACCAGAATGTCGCCGGGAAAGAACAGGAGCCCGTGGGCCAGCCCGAACAGGGCCAGGCCCATCATTCGGTTGCGGTAGAACTGGCCGAAGACCAGGCCCCGCTTCTCCGCCGAGCGCATCTGGAAGGCCAGCCCGACGCCGAACATGAAGGAAAAGAGCCCGTAGCTCTTCAGAAGAGCCAGCCCGCCGACCAGCCATGCCGCCACCGCATCGGCCGGGCTCTGTTGCGTTGCGCCGACAAAGCCCTCTTCGATCGGATAGGCCATGAACTGGACATTGACCACGACGATGCCGAACAGCGCGAACAGGCGCAGATAGTCTGGCATCAGGGCGCGGTCTGTGGTCATCGATCGGCTCCGGCATCGGTGGGACCAGGCCACCGTTGCGCGCGGATGCGCCGGGGCGGGTTGCCATCGGCCTTAACCCGCCAGGGCATCGATTGCAAAGTCGGCCGGGCGCTTCTCGCGTTAACACCGATCAATGCGAAGCGGGGCCGTTCCGCTAGGTTCCATGCATGTCCCAGCACACGGTGATGTCATGAAGGGTGCCATCTTCTACGCCACCAGATATGGCAGCACCGGCCAGTATGCGCGGTGGATCGCCGAGGCGACGGGGCTCGACGCATACGACATCGACGCCGGCGGGGCATCGATCGGGGATTTCGATTTTCTCGTCCTCGGCAGCCCGGTCATCTATCACAAGCTGATGTTCTGGAAATGGGTGCGGCGCCATCTCGACACAATCGCCGAAAAGCCGGTGATCGTGTTCACCGTGTCTGGCGTCTCGGCGGGCGAAAAGCTCGACGGCTGGATCGCCGAAAGCCTGCCGCAGGACCTGATCGACAGGATGCATCATGTGGCGCTGCGCGGACGGCAGGACCCCAGGGAACTGACCCGTTATGACCGGATGATGCTGATCATCGGAAGCCTGATGAACCGGGACAGGCAGGCGGCACGCGAGGAACTGCACGGCTTCGACTTCATGGACAAGGACAGCATCGGACCGGTCGTTGCGCTCGTCGAGCGATTGAAGGCCGGCGAAACGGCGGCCTAGCGCGTCCGCCGTCGCCCAAATGTGAAAAGCGCTTTTCAGAACGCGCCCTTGTGCGCCGGCAAGCCAGCGTCTCACATTGCCGCTGGCGCCGATCGGACGACCATGCCGGCGCCTCCGCCACCGAGGGGAGACAGGGATTGACGCAGCGCACCGCAAGCCAGATGGCCATGCCGGTCCGACAGTTGGGCCGCGGCGGCCCCGTCGTTTCGCAACTGGCATTGGGCACCATGACCTTCGGGGTCGAGACCGACGAGGCGGAGGCGTTCCGCCAGCTTGACCTCTTCGTCGACCGCGGCGGCACCTTCATCGACACGGCCGATGTCTATGGCAAGGGCGCGTCCGAGCGGATCATCGGCAACTGGGCGCGCCAGCGCGGCGGGGTTGACGACCTGATCGTCGCGACCAAGGGGCGCTTCGCCCCGCCGCCCGGCAGCCATGGAGCGTCAAGGCGGGCGCTTGTCCGGTCGGTCGATGCAAGTCTTAAGCGTCTCGGCGTCGAGGCCATCGACCTCTATTACGTCCATGGCTGGGATCGGCACACGGAAGTGGAGGAGACGCTGGCGACGCTCGGCGATCTGGTGCGCGCCGGCAAGGTCCATGCTGTCGGCTGGTCCAATGTCGCCGGGTGGCAGTTGCAGAAGATCGTGTCGGCGGCCCGCGCCGGCGGCTATCCGGTTCCGGTCGCCCTCCAGCCGCAATACAACCTGCTCGAGCGCGGCATCGAGATCGAAGTGCTGCCATGCGCGCTGGAGGCCGGCATCGGCGTCGTGCCCTGGTCGCCGCTTGGCGGCGGCTGGCTGACCGGCAAGTACGGGGCCGACCGGCGCCCCGCCGGCGCCACGCGGCTGGGCGAGGATCCGGACAGGGGCGTGGAGGCCTATGAGCTGCGCAACACCGCGCGCACCCACGCAATCCTTGACGTGCTTCGGTCGATCGCCGCGCGCTACCGGCGCCCGCCGGCGCATGTCGCGATTGCCTGGCTGCTGGCGCGTCCCGGCGTCGCCACCGTTCTTCTGGGCGCACGCACCGCCGAACAGCTCGAAGGCAATCTCGGCGCCGTCGATCTGGCGCTGGAACCCGATGATCTCAGCGCGCTGGGCGAGGTGTCATCGGCTCCGCTGCCGGCCTATCCCTACAGGTTCCTCGAGGACTGGTCGGGGATCGATGTCTGGAGGCGGCTGCAAGGCTGAGCCGCCGGGCCGGCGTCGCCCGCTATCAGCCCTTGGCCCGCTCGATCGCCTCGACGATCAGCTTCTCGGCGGTGTCCCGGTTCTGCCAGCCGCCCAGCTTGACCCACTTGCCGGGCTCGAGATCCTTGTAGTGCTCGAAGAAATGCTCGATCTGCTGCAGCGTGATCTCCGGCAGGTCGGTATAGTCCTTGACGCCGTCATAACGCTTGGTCAGCGCGGGCGAGGGCACGGCGATGACTTTCTCGTCCTGTCCCGAATTGTCCTCCATCAGCATCACGCCGATCGGCCGCACATTGATCACGCAGCCCGGGATCAGCGGCCGCGTGTTGCACACCAGAACGTCGATCGGGTCGCCATCGTCGGACAGCGTGTGCGGCACGAAGCCGTAATTGCCCGGATAGGCCATCGGCGTATAGAGGAACCGGTCGACGACCAGCGTGCCCGCCTCCTTGTCCAGCTCATATTTGATCGGATGGCCGCCCAGCGGCACCTCGATGATGACGTTGACATCGTGCGGCGGCGTGTCGCCGATGGAAATGGCGTCGATGCGCATGGGGGTCTCCGCTCGGAGCGCCTCGGCCACGGGCTGGCCGCCCTGCGGTTCGAAAGCGCGACAAAAAACATGAAATCGCCGCCCGTTGATAGCCGCGCGCCCACCGCACCGCAACACGACCTTGGGCGTGGGGCGGCGGGACGCGGCCCGCCGGCGGGTCCAGTCGGATAGTGGTCTTCGAATATACTACAGCAATATCGTCAAAACATAATTTCGAGGAAAGCCTTTCAATGCAGTTTTATATATGACACAATCAATTTCGCATGAGGCTATTTCTTTTATAGTCACATGGTAAGCCGTTTTTGACAAAGTAGATTTTGGAAATGCTTTCGTTTGCCATGCAGGCGGAGCGTGGGAGGTGTTGCCGTGAAACTGTTCGCAAGAGCCTGTGCGCTGGCCTTGTTGCTTGTCCTGTTCGCTCCGTCCCAGAGGGCGCTGGCGCAGAACTGCGGCACCCCCTGCACCGACGGCGAGCAATGCATCGCCGCCGGGCTTTACCCTTATGTTCCGGACATCGATGCCTTCGCGTCGTCCATCTGCTCGGCATGGGCGGCGGCAGGCCAGACCGAAAAGTTGTACCTGATCACCGACGGCAATGTCTGGGACGGCGGCTATTCGTCCGACCCGGTCTACACCAATGGCAGCGGGACGCAGGCCCCCATCGACGTGTTCGTCTTTGACGCGATGTATCTCGATTACTGGAAGACGCAGACGACGCCGGTGCCCGCCAGCTCGATCTCCGACGCCTCCGATTTCGTCGAATATGCGCAGAAGGCGCTGACCCGGAACGACGGCAGCATGTTCGCCCTGCCCATGCTGGGCTGTACCAACATCATGTTCTACCGGGATGGCGATACCGACATGGACGGCGTGAGCACGCTGCCCGAATTCCTGTCGGTCAACCCGGCCGGCGTCTATATCAGCCCGGTGCCGTTCGACCGGACCGGCGCCATGCTCAACATATCGGGCAAGACGACGATCGCCGTCGACTACATGGTCAAGGGGCTTCTGGACAATGGCGCGTGGCCGTCGATGAACCCGCTCGACCAGTCGATCGTCGATGCGCTGGCCAGGCTTTCCGAAAGCGCGAGCTGGTACAATGCGCTGACCGGCGCCATCCCGTCGCTGCCGGGCGTGGAGGATCAGTATGTCCGCGCCGGCTATTTCAGCGAAGGCTATGGCCGGACGTCGATCGGCTTTTCGGAAAGCATGTCGCAGATGTCCGATGCGACGCGCGGGATGCTCAAGCTGCGCGCCTTTCCATGGAGCAAGGACACCGGTGTGCCGAACATGTTCTATGCCGACGTGGTCGGCGTGAACAGCAATTCGACTTTCCTTGCGGGCGGCGGAACGCTTCCCTTCACGCTGGCCAACCTGATGACGGAACAGACCGTCGTCCAGAACGCGATCGCGCCACCGTCCGGGGATCTGTCCTATCTGTTCCCGGCCCGCACCAGCATCCTGGATGCGCTGAGCGCGCAGGACCCGCTCTATGCCCAGATGAAGGCGGTGCTGACCGGAAACGACGCGATCCTCGTCAACATGCCGACGACCGACCGGGATGCGTTCCACACGTTCGGCGGCACCGTCGAAACCGCCGTCAGGGGCGCCTTCAGCGGAAGCTGCGATCTGGAGAGCACGACATTTCCCGGCTCCGACGCCGAAGCGCCAGCCATCTGCAACCCGCTGTGCGCGAGCAGCGGCGGGTGGATCGGTTCGTGGACCAACCGGTCGCCGCCGGCCTGGCCGGGCTATTCGGCCTGCGGATGCGCCCAGTGCACCGCCGACACGCCGCTGCCTGCCGGTGCGGACGAACCCTCGGCGATGATCACGTCCGGCCCGGAGCTGCGGCGCTACCACCGGAACTGACCGGACCGGACGGTCCGGCGCGCAGCGGCACGGTGCGGCGGATGCCGGAACAGCCCATCCGCCGCCGAAAGGCCGGGCAGTCTGCCCGGGCACAGGTCGGCCCGCTATGGGTCTTCAGGCCAAACCGAAATCCCTGTCGACGATGCGCGCCGCCAGATCCGCATCGCCGTCGCGGTTCACATTGTCCTTCAATGCCGACAGGGGCAAGATGAGCTCATAGGTCAGCGTGCTGTCCTCCACCTCGCGTCGCGCACTGCCGCGAAGAACGGTCGGAACGATCTTCGTCAGCAAGCGGCTTCCAAATCCGCCCGATCCCGCATCCGCAAAAGATCGCGCTGCCGCCTCGGAGATTTCCTCGTCCCACCGCAGCACGAGACGCTCGGCGTCGTCGCCATCGGCCGCCAGCTTTGTCCACGACACGCTGATCGCTCCGGCATCGGCGGAAAGCGCACCGTATTTCTGGGAGTTGGTGGCCAGTTCGTGAAGCGCCAGGCTGATCTGCTGGGCAGCCTCCGAGCCGGCATCGATCGGCTGGCCTTCGACCTTGATCCGGTCGCCATATGTCATCAGAACCGGCTCTAACTGCGTCCTGACCACCTGACCCAGATCGGCCGAGGTCCGCGTTTCGCCCTTCATGACGATCGATGTCGCATCGGCCAGCGCATTGAGCCGCCCGATGAAGGTATCGATGAAACCGCCGGCATCGCCATGACTGCGCGCACTCTGCCGCGCGATCGAGGAAACCACGGCGATCAGGTTCCGGCTGCGATGAACCGCCTCGCGCGTCGAAATGGCAAGCTGGGCGTTCGCGCGCTTCAGTTCCGCCGTTCGCTCCTCGACCTCGGCCTCAAGATTGTGCTGGGCCTGCCGCAACTTCGCCAGCGTGGCTTCATGCGCCGCGATCTCCCGTTTCAGGTTCTGGTTCGCCTCCTGAAGCTCGCTGGGTGTCGGAATCGTGATCAGCGTCGGCACCAGGCGGAACAGGACGATCGCGGTCGCCGCCGAGACCAGACCCGTTGCCAGCTTCACATAGCCCTGCAGCGGATAGATCGGGATCCAGAGCGTGACGATGGACAATGCATGGGTCAGTCCGCACAGCAAGATGAACCCGGCAAAAAGCCCGACCAGACCGCGATGTTTCAGGTCCGGCCGCTGGCGCAGCACGCTGAGCAGAGCCAGCGGTATGGCGAAATAGGAGATGAAGATCAGCAAGTCGGACCCTGCCCACAAGATGACAAGCCAGGGCTGCCACGAGAGGCACATGCCATGCGGCATGTATTGAGAAAACGCGGTCATGATCTGCACGGTGGTCGTCTCCGGTCGCTCGGTTCTTCGGCAATACGGCGCGGCGTGCGCCATTATGCTGACGCGGCGTCAACGCCTATCATACCGCGCGTCCCGATACAGCGAAATCGCATGCATGCCGCCCCGCCCGTTCCAAGCGCCACGGCGAACGCAACGGTCAGGAAAAGAAGCGTACGCCGCCAACCGCGATATCGGCGCCGAACTCGCGGCCGATGGCGACTATGCCGATGCGGCGGAGCCGGGCGACATTGAGCGGCGCCGGGGTCCGATGGCCCTCGAAGCCGGCAAACGGCAGCCGGTATGTCCGCCAGCCGGACCCGGCATGGAAGCCTTGCCTGTAGGACTGCCACGGCCGGCGCAGATCGTCGGTGCGCAGGTGCACATTGTAGCGCTCGCCATTGCCGTTCGCATCGACCGCGATGCCGGCGAAACCGCTCGCATCCACCGATGCCCCCGTGTCCGAAAGATCGAGTGAAAGCTGGATGAAGCCGCCATTGTTGTCGAGGCTGACCTGCCCGGTCAGACGCAGCGCGGGCCGGCCCTCGATCGCCTCGCACGTCATCGCTCCGCGCGAAACCCCGCCCATCACCCCGTCGGCGGCATAGCGCCAGGAGGCCCCGTTCGAGGCGAGCGGGCCGGGCCGGCTGAAATCGTCGATGACGGCCTGGGTCTCGGCCATGGCAGATGCGGTCCCTGTGGCAATGGCCGCGCCCGCGCCAACAAGGCCGAGCGCCGTCCGGCGGGTGATCATGGCGCCATCACAATCGAAAACCGCCCCGGGCGCAACGCCGGTTTGGGGAGGGACCGGCAGCCCTTGGGGTCTTGCCGCCACGCGGACCTTGCGACGGAATTCGGGGCATTCCGTGAAAAATTTGGCCGGATAGTCCGTTATAGGGTGGAGTGCGCGGCACGGCGCCGTCAGATCGCGGATTTGCGCGTCCAGCTCGGTTCGCACGCAAAGCCGTCCTATGTTTTGAGCCGGGGATCCTTCATAGTGGGCCGGAGCCGGTGCGATGATACCAGCAATTGGAGGCGGCGATGGCCGACAACGCGGACTGGATCGACGACCTGAAAAGGATGCGGGATGAACTGCGTCTTCAACTGCATCTTGGCGCACGCGAAGCCGAAGACGAGTGGGACGAACTGATGAAGGACTGGGACAGATTTGCCAGTCGCGCGCAGTTCGACAAATCGGCCGAAGAGGTTGGCGAGGCCGCCAAGGAGCTTGGTCTGAAAATGAAGGAAGCCTACGACCGGATGAGGAAGGCGTAGGACCGAGGGCGAGCGCCGCTCAGTTCCAGACGTAGGCGATCTTGGCCAGCTTGCGGCCGTCGAACACCTCGGCGCCTTCGGCCACAGGCTGGCCGCCCTGGCCGCGATAGAAGTCCGTCGCGCCGATATTTTCCGCCAGCGCCCACACGACCAGGCCCTTGCAGCCATGGCTCGCGAGCTGGCCGCGCGCGGCGGCGAACAGGCGGCTGCCGAAACCGACGCCCTGATATTCGGGGCGCAGATAGATCTCGTAGACCTCGCCATCCTGCGGCAGGGCGCGCGCCCGGTTGAGACCGTAGGTGACATAGCCGGCGATCATGCCGCCCAGATCGAGCACCATCACCGACGTGCCGCGCCGGATCGCGCGCTGCCACCAGCGATGGTCGCGCCGGCCGATCATGCCGCGCAGCGATGTGTGGGGGATGATGCCCGCATAGGCGTTCTGCCACGCTTCGGCATGCACCTCGGCGATCCCGGGCGCATCGCGCGGGTCTGCGGGGCGTATGTCGATCGTCAGCGCGGTCATGATTTGTTAACCATGAGCCAGCGGGCCGCGTCGGGCAAGAGCGTTTTGCCCCCGCGCCGATCAATTTCACATCCTGTTGACGTGCCCGGCGGTCGACCGCCGGTCAGGCGCTGGCGCGGGTCTTTTCGAAGCGCTTGCGCTCGTGCGGATCGAGATAGAGCTTGCGCAGGCGGATCGATTTGGGCGTCACCTCGACCAACTCGTCGTCCTGGATCCACGACAGGGCGCGTTCCAGCGTCATCCTCACCGGCGGGGTCAGCTTGACCGCATCGTCCTTGCCGGCGGCACGCACATTGGTCAGCTTCTTGCCCTTGAGCACATTGACTTCCAGATCGTTGTCGCGCGTGTGGATGCCGACGATCATGCCCTGATAGACCTTGACGCCCGGATCGATGACCATCGGACCCCGGTCCTCGAGGTTGAACAGCGCATAGGCGACCGCCTCGCCCGGCTCGTTGGCGATCAGAACGCCATTGTTGCGGCCGGCGATGGCGCCCTTGAACGGCGCATATTCATGAAACAGCCGGTTCATGATCGCCGTGCCCTTGGTGTCGGTCAGAAGCTCGGACTGGTAGCCGATCAGCCCGCGCGTCGGCGCATGGAAGACCAGCCGCACCCGGTCGCCGCCGGACGGCTTGAGCTCGATCATCTCGCCCTTGCGTTCACTCATCTTCTGGACGACGGCGCCCGAATGCTCCTCGTCAACATCGATGACGACCTCTTCGATCGGCTCGAGCGTTGCGCCGTCCTCGCCGGTCTGCATGACGACCCGCGGCCGCGAAACCGCCAGTTCGAACCCTTCGCGGCGCATCGTCTCGATCAGGACCGCAAGCTGCAACTCGCCCCGGCCGGAGACGTGGAAGGCGTCCTTTTGCTCGGAATCCTCGATTCTAAGGGCCACATTGCCCTCGGCCTCCTTCATCAGCCGGTCGCGGATGACGCGGCTGGTCACCTTGTCGCCTTCGGTGCCCGCGAGCGGCGAATCGTTGACGATGAAGCTCATCGTCACGGTCGGCGGGTCGATCGGCTGCGCGGGAAGCGGCTCGGTCACCGACGGGTCGCAGAACGTGTCGGCCACCGTGCCCTTGGAAAGGCCCGCAATGGCGACGATGTCGCCGGCCCGGCCTTCGTCGATCGGCTGGCGCTCGAGGCCGCGAAAGGCGAGGATCTTGGAGACACGGCCGGTTTCCAGCGTCTTGCCGTCCCCGTCCATCACCTTGATGGTCTGGTTCGGCTTGACCGAACCGGAATGGATGCGGCCGGTGATGATGCGGCCCAGGAACGGATTGGCCTCGAGGATCGTGCCGATCATCCGGAACGGGCCGTCGCCCACCGATGGTTCCGGCACGTGGTCGAGCACCAGGTCGAACAGCGGCGCAAGCGAAGCGTCTGACGGCTTGTCCGGTCCGGCGGCCATCCAGCCGTCCCGGCCGGAGCCGTACAGGATCGGAAAATCGAGCTGTTCGTCATCGGCGTCGAGCGCGGCGAACAGGTCGAACACCTCGTTGATCACCTCGTCCGGGCGCGCGTCGGGCCGGTCGATCTTGTTGACGGCGACGATTGGCCTGAGGCCCACCTTGAGCGCCTTGCCGACGACGAACTTGGTCTGCGGCATCGGCCCTTCGGCGGCATCGACCAGCACGATCGCCCCGTCCACCATGTTCAGGATGCGCTCCACCTCGCCGCCGAAATCGGCGTGGCCGGGCGTGTCGACAATGTTGATGCGCGTATCCTGCCAGGTCACCGAGGTGGCCTTGGCAAGGATCGTGATGCCGCGCTCCTTCTCGATGTCGCCGGAATCGAGCGCGCGCTCCTCGACGCGCTCATTGTCGCGGTAGACGCCGGACTGTTTGAGAAGTTCGTCGACCAGCGTCGTCTTGCCATGGTCGACATGCGCGATGATCGCGATGTTGCGAAGGGCCATTGAATGTCTCGGAAAAGCGGCTGTTGTTGCGCCGCATATAGGCGTGCGGGCGGAGAATGGGAAGCGCTATCGTGTGGTGCCGGCGCTGCCTTCTCCCCGCGTGCGGAGCGAGGGAAATGCACCACGGTTCAATCCGCCGCCAGCCGGTCGATCTCCGGCACGATCTTGCGGGTCATGATGTCCTGGCTGATCGGGCCGACATGCTTGTAGGCGATCACGCCGTCCGGGCCGACGATGAAGGTCTCCGGCACGCCATAGACGCCCCATTCGATCGCCGTGCGGCCATTGCCGTCGGCGCCGACCGCATCATAGGGATTGCCGAGCTGGCGCAGGAAACGGATCGCGTTCTCCGGCTTGTCCTTGTAGTTGAAGCCGATCAGCCGGATGCGCGGATCGTTGGCCAGCTCCATCAGCCATGGATGCTCCTCGCGGCAGGGCGCGCACCAGGAACCCCAGATGTTGACGAGCGAGATGTTGCCCTCGAGCATGGCCGGATCGAAGCCGGGCATCGGATCGCCCGCCTCGGTCGTCATGCCTTCGACCGCCGGCAGCGGCGTCTGCGGGGCGTCGCGTCCGATCAGGGCCGACGGCACGGTCGACGCCACCCGGTCGGGCAGCACCAGCATGTAGGCAAAGACGCCAGCCAGCGCGAAGAAGACGATCACCGCGATCATGATCGGCCAGGAAATGCCCGACCGGCGGGTCGGCGCGTCCGTGCTGTTCATCGGCTTTCGTCGCCTCCCGATGCCGAACGGCGCTTCAGGCCCGCCTGTTCGAGCCGGTCCAGCTCGGCCATGGTCGCCGCGCGGTCGATGAACAGCCAGACCAGCACCGCGCCGAGCACGGCGGCGGCCGCCCCGTAGCTGAGCAGAACAAAGGCAGAGTGGCTGAGCATCGTGTCAGCCCTCCAGAACGGCCGTCGCCGGGGCGGCGGACGGGCCGCGCGCGCCGGCGCGGCGCAGCGCGGTGGCGCGGCGGCGGCGGATTTCGTTGCGCATGGCCAGCATGTGCATGGCGGCGAACAGCACCATGAAGCCGATCGCCGTCACCAGAAGCGGCCAAAGCATGGTCGGATGGATCGTCGGCCCGTCGAAGCGGATGACCGATGCGGGCTGGTGCAGCGTGTTCCAGATATCGACCGAGAATTTGATGATCGGAATGTTGACCGAACCGACCAGGACGAGGATCGCCACCGGCCGTGCGGCTTTTGCCGGATCGTCCATCGCGCGCTGCAGCGCGATGATGCCCAGATACATCAGCATCAGAACGAACACCGAGGTCAGCCGCGCATCCCAGACCCACCATGTGCCCCACATAGGGCGCCCCCAGAGGGAGCCCGTGATCAGGCAGATCAGCGTGAAGGCGGCGCCGATGGGCGCGGCGGCGCGGATCGAGACGTCGGCCAGCGGATGGCGCCAGATCAGCGTGCCGAGCGCCGATGCGGCCATCACGGCGTAGGCGAACATGGCCAGCCATGCCGCCGGCACATGAATGTACATGATGCGGACGGTGACGCCCTGCTGATAGTCCTGCGGTGCGTTCCAGGCCCACGCAAGGCCGCCGATCGTCAGCACCCCGGCGATCGCCCACAGCCATGGCAGGGCCGAGGCCGACAGCGCCATGAAACGCGTCGGATTGGCCAAAGATGTCCAGAATCCCGGCTTGGATGCGGCGGCGTCACTCATGGCTGTCTTCTTAGAGCGGCAATTGTGGCCGCGCAATTGATCTCGGACAATCGGCCGCACACGCTGGCGTGAGCGGTATCACGGTCATGCCGTGCTGCGGTACGCGATCGATGACCGACAGCTCCGCCGGGCGGATCATTGCATATGCTACGGCATTGCCGTATATTTCTCGCCAATGCACACCGTTGTCACTACGTCTGTGTTCGAGCGTCAGGCCAAGGAGGCTGGCCTTTCCGACGATGAGATGGCCGGAATAATCGCATTTTGGCGGGTAATCCCGACGCTGGCGTGATCATTCCGGGTACGGGCGGCGCACGAAAAGTCCGTTTCGTCGGCAGCGGGAAGGGCAAGAGCGGAGGCTACCGCACGATCCACTATTTCGCCGCTGACGATATCCCGATCTTCCTTCTTGCACTCGTCAAGAAAGGCGATCGTGCCGACACCAGTCAGGCGGAGCGGAATCAACTGGCACGCACACTGCCGGCGATCGCAGATGCGTACAGAGCCTCGGTGAGGGCCCGGACGTCTGCAGACAAAAGGAGAAACCGATGAGCAGCTTTGGCAAGCAACTGGTCGAAAGCGCCGAGGAGGCGCTGGCAATCGCCAAGGGCGAAAAGGGCGCGCCGCGCACGGTGGTGCCCGACAAGATCGATATCGCTGCTCTGCGGCGCCGATTGGGCCTGACACAGTCGGCATTTGCCCAGCGATACGGTCTCAATCTGGCCACCGTGCGCGATTGGGAGCAGAACCGGCGCTATCCCGATCAGCCGGCCCGGGTTCTGCTGAAAGTGATCGAACGCGATCCGGAAGCCGTCGAGCGCGCATTGGGTGGCTAGGCTAGCTGCTCAATCCTGCAGCCCTTTCAGAGCGAGCGCAGCAGCGAACGGGCCGAGCACGGCAAAAAACAGCGTCAGCGCGGCAAGGAACGTGAACGGCTGGAGGAACGGCGCGAAGGTTTCGACCGCGCCCAGCGTCGCCATCACCCCGAAGATCAGGACGGGGATGGTGAAGGGCAGGATGATCACCGAGACCAGAAGCCCGCCGCGCGGCAGCGAGACGGCGACCGCGGCGCCCGCCGCGCCGATGAAGGTGATCGCCGGCGTGCCGACCAGCAATGTCAGCGCGGTGGCGCCGATGGCGGTCGCGTCCATGTTCAAAAGGAGTCCCAGCAGCGGCGTGACGAGCACAAGCGGAAGCCCGGTCACCAGCCAGTGGGCGACGCATTTGGCGAACACCGTCAGCGCCAGCGGCGTTTCGTGCCGGGCAATCACCAGAAGATCGAGCGCGCCGTCCTCATGGTCGATCTGGAACAACCGCTCAAGCCCGAGCAGAGATGCCAGCAGCGCCCCGGTCCACAGGATGGCCGGGCCGATCCGGGCCAGAAGGTTCAGATCCGGCCCCATCGCGAACGGCGCAACCGTGACGACAGCCAGATAGAACAGGATGCCGATCAGCGCGCCGCCCCCGGCGCGGACCCCCAGCTTCACGTCGCGGAGGATCAGCGCGATCATGCATCGCCCCCGTCGGTGAAGCGCAGCTTCTTCATGCCCGCCACGTCGATCGGCAGGTGCGTGGCGGCGATGACGATGCCGCCATCGGACATGTGACCGGCGATGATGCCGGCGAACGCGGCCTCAGTGCGCGCGTCGAGCCCCGATGTCGGCTCGTCCAGCAGCCAGACCGGCCGATGATTGACGAACAGCCGCGCGATGGCGGCGCGGCGGCGCTGGCCGGTCGACAGGTCCGAGAACGGCACGTCGATCGCATGGCCCAGATCGACCCGTTCGAGCGCTTCCTCCGGCATTGCGGCGCGCGCTTCGCCGAAGGCGCGCCAGAAATTCAGGTTCTCGCGCACGGTCAGCGCCGGCTTCATCGCGTTGAGCGGCGACAGGAAATGGGCATGGGCGGCGATCTCGGCGATGCCGCCGGGCGCGCCGGTCATCGCCGCTGCGCCGGCGACGGGACGCAGGAACCCGGCCAGAACCCGAAGCAATGTCGATTTGCCGGCCCCGTTGGGCCCGGTGACCGCCATGCCCTCGCCCGCCGAAAGCGCGAAGCCGACGCCCTCGAAGACCATCTCGTTGCCGCGCCGGGCGGCGAGCCCGTCCGCTACAAGCTTCATGGCGTTCCCCGTTTGCGCGCTGATTGGCACACAATGGCCGCCGCGCGCAATCGCCCGCGCTTTTTGACCTTGGTTGGTCTTTCAACCTGACCGATTTGTATCTATTCACAAGCCGTGACGCTGCGATTGCTGCAATGCGCAATCGCCAACAATTTCACCGCCAGCTTGATCGGGCCGAAAGGGTCGGCAGCGGCGGCGCCGGGCGCCCACGCGCCGGGCCAACCGGAGGTCAGTCATCGTGTCCACAATCGACAGTTTCAATTGCCGCAAGACGCTTGAGGTGAACGGCAAGAGCTTCACCTATTACAGCCTTGCCGAAGCCGAAAAGAACGGCCTTGACGGCATTGCGCGCCTGCCCTTCTCGATGAAGGTGCTGCTGGAAAACCTGCTCAGGAACGAGGATGGCCGCTCGGTCACCAAGGCCGACATCCAGGCCGTCGCCAACTGGCTCAACGACAAGGGCACGGCGGGCTATGAGATCGCCTACCGCCCGGCGCGCGTCTTGATGCAGGATTTCACCGGCGTGCCGGCCGTCGTCGATCTTGCGGCGATGCGCGATGCGATGGTCAATCTCGGCGGCGATCCCGAAAAGATCAATCCGCTGGTGCCGGTCGATCTGGTGATCGACCACTCGGTGATCGTCGACGAGTTCGGCAACCCCAACGCGTTCGCCCGCAATGTCGAGCTCGAATATGAGCGCAATGGCGAGCGCTACCGGTTCCTCAAATGGGGCCAGAACGCGTTCGACAATTTCCGCGTCGTGCCGCCCGGCACCGGCATCTGCCACCAGGTGAACCTTGAATATCTCGGCCAGTGCGTCTGGACGAAAGACGCCGACGGCGAGACCATCGCCTATCCCGACACCTGCGTCGGCACCGACAGCCACACCACCATGATCAACGGTCTGGGCGTTCTGGGCTGGGGCGTCGGCGGCATCGAGGCGGAAGCCGCCATGCTCGGCCAGCCCATCTCCATGCTGCTGCCCGAGGTGATCGGCTTCAGGCTGACCGGCGCGCTCAAGGAAGGCGTCACCGCCACCGACCTCGTTCTGACCGTCGTGCAGATGCTGCGGCAGAAGGGCGTTGTCGGCAAGTTCGTCGAGTTCTTCGGCGCCGGCCTCGACAATCTGACGCTCGCCGACGCCGCCACCATCGGAAACATGGGCCCCGAATATGGCGCGACCTGCGGCTTCT